GTAAATGTACTGCTGACAATCCACAGAAGTCATCCACATACCAGTCGGCCTCCTATCCACATATATTTAAAAATTACTATTAGAGGCTATTTGACTCTTCTACATAGTTGCTCCTCACACAGATATACAATTTATTGAGCTTTCCTTGTAAATTTTCAGTTTAATTGAACTTTTTTTTCTTTTTATTTAAAGTACTGCTTTCACAATACTGAATAACCCTTATGGTAATATTTTATTAGTAGTAAAGATGAACAAGCACTTAAAGGCTTTAGAGTTTGAGATTCATAGCTAACATTTTCTAGTTCAAGTACAGTAGATAGCATAGTACATATAAAATGATAGCTTAGTCAAAGGTAAAAATGATTTGAAGCCACTAACCCTGAAGATACTAGCAGTAGTTCTGAGGCAGTTTCTGTCTGCTGCACAGATGTGTAAAAATAACAAAGATAATAAATATTACTGTGTAGGAAATAAACACAGACAGCAAATGACAGGCAGTATAACTCACCGTGTTGCATGAGTGGAAAAATATCACCCTGTGAACCGTAACAGTAATCACAAAACTTCAAATATTTCAAAACAACTGTCAGTCATTGTGTAAGAAGCCTGTATGACTCAGGGGTAAGGTTAACTTCATCTGTGGTGAGAGTGCATAAACAAGCAATACAAGTCATCTGTACAAGATTTTTACTACTTTTAAAAAAATATAGTTTTTCATATCATTATATTTATTTTTTTTAGAACAAAGATTTCAGGCTTTTTTTTTTTTTTTATTACAGTGCTCAGCAGGAATCAAAGCAACATTCAATTTTTATAATTCCCACATTATTCTGGCTTTGCATGCAAAAGAAGTACATCTGCCAAAAATACCAGTTAATATTCTGCACTAATATTTTTATCTTCTTTCCTGCCATCATTTATCTGTTTAATTTTATAGGTTATCTTTACAAAATGCTAAAAATTTTGGTACTGATAGGGATCAAAGGGTAAGCAAAGTCTACTTAAAAACTTAAATTTGAGGTATTGAGTATCATACTGTATACACAGTTCCAAAGTCACAGTAAGAGTTAATAGTAGTGCAGAAAAATGCCAGAGGTATCATTCAGTTGAATGAATATTTAACCCATCTTTTTCTAGCGTAGTTAAGGCTTAAACAGATACACACAGTCATTAACTTACATTCGGTTGCAAGATACCTCTCTTATGTGCTTCCTGAATGATTTCTTTTTTTTTTTTATGACATGAAGACCTTGAAGATATACTTAACTAGTTTACTACAAAGCCCATTTCCTCCTCAGATTACTGCAGATCAAGGCATTTTTCACTGTCTTTGTCCCAGTAAAGTTAGGTAAAAGCAAAAAAAAACGCCATTCTGGCATGGCTGGTTTCTTCAGCTTTTTACACTGACAATATTTTTTTTCCAGATTACCCTGATCACCAATGAAAATGCGTTCAGTATAATCACGGACTGTTATTTTTCCCTTGTCCCTATTTTACTCTCACATGGACAAGATACATGTTTAAATTTGACTGACTTGGCTTTTATAAATCACTGTCCAGAATCTCATAGTTCATGAGTTCTTTTATCCAAAATAACACTAAAATGCAAGCTCATTATTAGAAAGAATATTGTTTTCTTTACGGGATCCACTCCAGTAATTCATTGCTGCTGTCTCTAGTATTACCACTTCTAAAATTCTGATTTCTATCCATGTTTTAGCCAGGGGAAAATCTCAGTCTTCGTAGCATGCCCTGTTGTTAGCCTGGTAGGTAAATCTTACAAGCATTCAGTTGATACAAAGTGCTGCTGACTATGACAGAAAAAAAAATTAGCTGTTTGTCATTTACCTATATGACATAAGGTGCTACAACTTCTCAAAAGGCATGAATAAGTCAATCAGGGCTTCTGTCTTTGCGAAGCCACACTTCTACTAATGTAGCAAATGGGTGAGTCTAGAAAGGAAAGTTACAAGCAATAGTTTTGCTTTACTTTACTGTATTTTTAGGTATTCTAACAAGTAAAAAAAACCAACATAGTATGGCATGATTTAAGAAAAAAAAAAACACAAACAAACCCAAAACAGAACAAGAGAACAAAACCACCAAACCCCACAATTCTGAATCATTTATATGGGAAAAAGATATTATGAACTTTATTGACATTATTTAATTATAACTCACCTAGCTTTAATTTCAAATGGGAATGTTTTAGTGGCTACCAGAGAGAGACTTCGAGACACTTCAAGTGGAATCAGATATCGTTTTACCCATGTGCCTGTGAGCCCCTGGATGACACTGATAATCAATGATCAACAAAGCTTTTCAGGAAGTATATTTTACCTTGTGTGTTTGAAAAGGATTACACACTAGGGGAAAGTTGCTATGGGTTGTAGTCTAAATGATGCCGCCTACTCAGCCCCAGCAGTTTACACTTTTTTACATTTTGTAGTATACTTGTTTCTTTCTTCAGATTGCTTTGTCCTTATTCTGATCAGCTAAACCAACACATAAACATCAGCTCTGTGCACTCCAGCTGGCTTTGTCTCAACAGTGCTCAATGTTAAAAAAGAAGAAGGCCTGTTTTTAAAAAGCAACTAGTATTAAGTCCAAACCAAACTGGTTCTCATAAATTTGAAACCACAGACAGATACTTCTAATTCTGATTGCTATAGAAAATGAACAATGAAAACCACTTTTTTGCCCCATCCTGGGCTTGTTTGAGTTTTCTCTCACCTCCAAGAAATATAGAAAATGTAGTATAACAAAGTAGAGTCTTTTTCCATGTGGTTACATTTTTTCTTGTCATTTGAAAATTCAAAATAATACAGTGTTTAGCTGATCTTTTCCATATGACAACTTCCATTTGATGCACCTAAGTCCATTGCCAAATCCATTATTTTGTGCTATAGTCACAGTGTAGAATTTATTATGGTATTCTATGATTTAAGCATAAAAATAATCAATTATTAGAACTCTGAGAACAGCTACAGCTACCCACCCTTTTCTGCTTAGTATGCAGTATATGCAATCAGTCTGATTTTTATTTCAATTTTAGGAACCAACCAGACAGTTCTCAAATACCCAGGTAATTTCCCTCAAAAAAGTGCAGAAGCAGAACTGTACCTCAAAATATCTGTGGCCATATTTGTGGGGTTTGGGGGGGGGGAGGTGGAAGGGTGCAGAAAACAGAGAGGAGAAGGTTTTAGAAAATTTTTCTGGTGTCACATGAGCATGAATATTCAGAACTAAGGACAATGCATCCTTTATTCTTTGTCTATGATTACAGTTAATAAGCAAGCACTTCATCTGTAGCACAAATATGCTGGTAACACCTGTCTTTTGAATTTCAAAAGAAATACTTATTTTTTTAAAATCATGTTTATTTTGTGAGCATTTTGCTATGAGATGAAAACATCTCATTGGTTAAATTGCTTGAAATAAAGAACTCAAGCACTTGAGTTGTTAGTGTCACCAATCTTTTTAAGCTGTTTCGATTCATTTTTCTGTTAATTTCTTTTTTAAAAATTTATTTGTTTGCTTTCATTGAAGAAAGTCTTTGTATAGACATTTGAAATGTGTTGATTCTGAAATATTTTTGCAAGTAGAAAGTATCATGCAAGCATGTAAAAAAAGAATGCACATTGCAAACATGCATTGAAATAAACTTGTCAATAAGTTACCAATATAATTTATTAATATAGGAAAATATAGAGATAGTAAAGGATACAGTAAAGGACAGTTCTGATGTTTGATTATCTTACCAGCCTCAAGGACCCAGTGAAGGTGATCATGAAACCAGCTCCAAGAATCATCATCACAGTCAGAGGCGGCAGGCTCAACCTTAGCGGGCATCCCCAGAGAGGCAACGTTGACCTGGAGGGTATGAGGTTCTGTCTCTCCCCCACCACATGAGACTCAGGCTTTAATACTGACCAAAATGCACACTCATTCCAATGCAGGGGGCTAGCCTAAGTGGGAAGAAGTGGCCAGCAATATCTAGGAAAGTCTCCAAGGGTTGAGACTTTTCTCAGGAGTTCCAAACCAGAATTTTCCAAGTAGGAACCAAAGCTGGACTTTCTGGGGAGCAGCCAAAGCAGGACTCTCTGGGGAGAAGCCAAAGCAGACAAACAGTACTTTTCTATCTTTGTGTGTTTCACCACAGACCATTATCTATAGTCCCTGACACAGTTGTACATACAAAAACAGAAGATGTAACTCAATTATTAAAGCTGTTTAATGTGAACTTCAAATAACAAAAATATGAAGGAGAAACAGCAAGTGGAAACTTGAGGATGCTGCAGATTTAAGAGAATTTTTTTTTTTTAAAGAAATGTAGCCTGATGCCTTCAGTGTTTCGTTTTTTTTTTCCCTTGCAGATAACGTAGCATATCGGTCTAGACTCAATCCTGCTGCAGGACATTTTCATCTGGCTATGCAATGCATATATTTGTTTGCTCTCTGTTTTTACTACTACCCAGTAATGCAGCACATAAAAACAACAAAGCTTTATTTCTCAAACAGAAAAAAAAATTCTCTTTTATCATTTCTCTCTGAAGTGTACACGCATAACATCTCAGTAGGATGGAAAAACATTGGGAACTACAATAAAGGTAAACAAAACCAGCAGTCTGCAATAGCTTATGTGACTAGATCAAATTGGTTTTCTTTTAGCTTCTTTTTTTGTTGTTTTTGGTTTTGTTTGCAATCATTGCTTTTCAACAAACTCTGTGCATCAATGTTTTTATAAGGTTATATTTTTGCAGATTTCAAACACCTTTATACCTGAATGACTTACTGCAAAACACACCAAACTAACTGTTTGTACTTCCAGAATGACACTTCTTCTTCATTCCTTGTACAATTGATTTTCAGTGCAATGATACTAAAATGTTGACTAGAGTCTCTTCTGGTATCTTCTGAATATGAAACATCTCTGAACAAATGCTTCTTCATGTACAGTCCATAATTTTCTAGCAGAACTATGTCCCAGGCTGTCTAACTAAATTGGATACTGCTTGAGAGGATTTTTTATTTCACTGTTAAGTGTAATGTGAAGTAATTTCTTTTCAAGAGATGTTCTTGGAAAGACAGCATGTCTCTCCACAGCCGAATTTATTGCCCTGAAAAAAGAACATGGGTGCGCAGAGGCAAAGGGAAGGCCACAGAAGGAGGTTGCCTTGGCATCCATGAGGTGAGGGAAGGCTGAAAGACCTGCAAGAATGCCTGACAGCCTCTCACAGATGAGCTCTTGCAAGATGGCACTCCAGGACTCCAGCAGGGTTGAGTTTAAGACAATTGGTTTGCTAGACACACTGACACACATATCCTTCTCATCTTGTTAAGAAGACCTTGCAAGTTTCACAGCATACCTTCTCAAACAAGTTTTCCACAAAGAATTTTTTTTTTTTTTTGTCTCCATTTTGGGGCAGGCCGCCTGACTAGGTACAGCAGCTGCTGACAGAAAATTAACTCTGCTGGCTATCTTCATTTGATAAAACTTCCACACAAAAGTGAAGCTTTATTCAAACTTGATAATTTAGCACACCAGTCTCCAGACTAGGAGATATTTGCTAATCATAAAATGTGTTTTATTATCTTTGAAGTTGCTGAATCATGTTTTAAGTCTAGAATTTTGATTCTAAAATATAGAATACTGTCTTTACTCAAGGTCTTTTCATAGACATTTTTCTATTCTGACAAAGAATGACAAAGATAAATCCACATATGCTGTTCTTGCCAGACTGCTGTCAGTACCCAATCAAGCTATTTTTCAATATGTTCAGGTGTGTCACTATTAAAATTTCATTATTTTTATAACTGTGCTGTAAGAATATATGTATTTTTTTTCCAGCTTTCCCTGCCACATACAAATATATATGTGGATACATCTATATGTCTATACATTGTATGTTTAATGCATATGTATGCTTTTATATAGATGTATACTTTTTTCTGTGTGTTTATATCCTGATTCTGTCATCAACTGAAGCTTTGACAGTGATCTCAAATTAATCATAACATCATCCTTATTTTCAGCTTCTGGTGTTCCTTTTGTGCAGTTTTTGCTTTTCTATAATCTCATAATGACTGGACATTTTCTGCTTTCTGTCTACAGTTTGCTTAATCTTTGCTTGTCTGCAGTTCTGTACTATATTTCAATCCACACTTTTGTTCATGTCCTACATTTTCTTCCCTTCTTTTTTTGTCCCTGCCTTTCTCTATTTTATTCTTCTGTCTTTAATCCCATTTTGTGTTTTCTTCAGAGATTTTCAAAATGTTACATTGACTTACCAGAAAATCCCTGAGGTATTTCATTTTCTTACAATATCTTGGGAAAGAGTGTTCATTCTGAATTCATGTCACTAGAGAATTTATGGTTAAATAGACAAGATGTTGAAGACCTGAATGTGGAACAATTGAAGGTAATAGCTAATTTTAATCTGATTCTGTCAGATATTTTCTAATTATACAGTAATGTTTAAGGGAAGAATCCCTGGCATGAAATCCCCAGCATCTTTCAGGTAACGGATCATCTATCTAAATGACTAAAACTGACCAAAAGAGATCTGCTTTTGTTTGGGGAATTCCTATGAAAGTTTCATTTTCTTATGCTGTTTCCCACAGAAAATTCAAAATGGTGACACTGTAACAACCAGCCTCACTTGCAAACTGATTGTGCATTGGTCCATGAGGAATACAAGGAACATCACTTTGAATTACATAGACAGAGTGGCCAGGTGAAAGTTCCTCACTCCTGCAACTACAACTTGTGTTTCTTCAGAGCTCTAGGTTTCCCTCTCAAAGTGGTTCATGGTGTATCTGATGGTTGTTCCTTTTAGAAAATATCTAGAAAGGTCTATATATATAAGAATACAAATGTATGCATATAAGAAGTGAAAAGCCCAATTTTCTCCTGCAGCCACACTATGATTGAATGTACAAATACTGCTGAAAATAGGAAAAAATAGTCTGACAGACAAGACACATAATTCAGAGATACAGGATGACATACTTTGGCACATTACCATGGGAAAAATAAGTAATTTTCCATATTGATCCTCCCCAAAATGTATGTGTCTTCAAATATTTGAAGTCTCAAACTGATGATTTCTTTATGTCAAAGGAATTTCAGGAATTCCAGTGAGAGACATTTTTCTCAAACATTTCTCACACATCTGTCAAGTCTTCAAGCACATCATCAGATTGAATATTTAGAGCATTTTTTCCTCAGCTGCTAAAGTTAATGGGAAATCAAAAACATTTGTTAATCAGAAACAATACTGTACACAGGTACGATACTGTGGCTTTTATGCTAAATGTTAGCAGCTTATATGTTGAATTAGGTTAGCTTGGTGACTGGGAAAAAGTTGGGACTGCTGTCAAATTAGAGAAAAGAACCTGTCTGAGATGATTTAATAAACTAAAATTCTCATAAATCTGGATAAGAGTGAGAGTACACCTATAGCCTGGAATGGAAAACCTTAACAAGAAACAACCAAAAAGTTATCATAGAATCGTTAGAGTTGGAAAGGACCTTAAGATCACCTAGTTCCAACCCCCCTGCCGTGGGCAGGGACACCTCACACTAAAACATGTCACCCAAGGCCTCGTCCAACCTGGCCTTGAACACTGCCAGGGATGGAGCATTCACAACCTCCCTGGGCAACCCATTCCAGTGCCTCACCACCCTAACAGGAAAGAATTTCCTTCTTATATCCAACCTAAACTTCCCCTGTTTAAGTTTTAACCTGTTACCCCTTGTCCTGTCACTACAGTCCCTAAGGAAGAGTGCCTCTCCAGCATCCCTATAGGCCCCCTTCAGATACTGGAAGGCTGCTAGGAGGTCACCACGCAGCCTTCTCTTCTCCAGGCTGAACAGCTCCAACTTCCTCAGCCTGTCTTCATATGGGAGGTGCTCCAGTCCCCTGATCATTCTCGTGGCCCTCCTCTGGACCTGTTCCTATGGTTCCATGTCCTTTTTATGTTGAGGACACCAGAACTGCACACAATACTCCAGGTGAGGTCTCACAAGAGCAGAGTGAGCAGGATCACCTCCTTCCACCTGCTGGTCACACTCCTTTTGATGCAGCCCAGGATAAGGTTGGCTTTCTGGGCTGTAAGTGCACACTGCCTGCTCATGTTCATTTTCTCATCAACCAACACCCCCAAGTCCTTCTCTGCAGGGCTGCTCTGAATCGCTTCTTTGCCCAACCTGTAGCTGTGCCTCGGATTGCTCCGACCCAGCTGTAGGACCTTGCACTTGTCATGGCTAAGCTTCATGAGGTTGGCATCAGCCCACCTCACAAGTGTGTCAAGGTCCCTCTGGATGGCATTCCTTCCCTCCAGCGTGCCAACAGAACCACACAGCTTGGTGTCATCGGCAAACTTGCTGAGGGCGCACTCAATCCCACTGTCCATGTCAGCCACAAAGATGTTGAACAAGACCGGTCCCAACACCGATCCCTGAGGGACACCACTCGTTACTGGTCTCCAGCTGGACATTGAGCCATTGACCACAACTCTTTGTATGTGGCCATCCAGCCAGTTCTTTATCCACCGAGTGGTCCATCCATCAAATTGATGTTGCTCCAATTTAGAGACAAGGATGTCATGAGGTTACTTTTTGCAGTTTCTGCTAGGAAGGAAGACAATTGTGACTTACATCTCTTCATTTCTTTTCCTCTGCTCTCTAGCAGTCAGGAAAGGCATATTACTTTACAATCCTGCCTCCACACTATTCTTTTATCTTGAGAATTTGGTGATGTTGTAGAGTCATGTGACTGGATCCTAGAAAGGACTGATAAAGCTCACTCGCTTGAGCAACTCCTACAAGTTTCTTGTTTCAGCATATAATTTAATTATTTCCCTCGATCTCCCAAAATGCTGATCCCATCTCTAGTTTGGTACCTGAAAGAGAATTTATTCCGCAGCAATACTAGTAAACTGCCTGGTGGGATTTTAATTCCCACACACCATGGGAGCATTTTAAATTATACTGTGTAGAGCCTGATTGCCTTTTGCAATAAACCAGAACCTCTTGATGCAAAACACAAGCCAGTCTCCTTTCTTACACCTCGATATTAAAAAGCAAGAGTCTTCTTCAGTTAGTTATTATCATGTCTAAGCAGCAAACTACTTTTTCTTGGATCTGCGTTAGTCCATTTGGAACTGTGGGATAACACGGCTGTGGACCCACTGATCCCAGTGTATAAAAGATACCTGAAATTACACTGTCTGTTACTTTTACCTATGTGATCTGATCTAAGTTATAGGTTTGTCCTCATGTAGTCAGTACATGAGGATTTGAGGAAAAGTTGAATCTATCATACAGCTATTAAAAGGACTGCTAAGAAGATGCTTTAAAATACATAGTTTATAAAGACTATAGGCTATAAAAGAATAACAGCAGATAAAGGGATTAAAATTGGAAGTGTCTTGCCACTTTTGACTCTAAGTGGATTGAAAACATCATCATTCTGACGACAGATCTGAGTATATTTACTTCACTGTAAATACTTTGCTTGCACCACACTGTGCATGCAATGCAATATTAATCTGCAGCCTAAAATGACATTCAGTGCAGAGCGGTGTGTGTGGGACTCTCAGCCAGGAAAAAAACCTGCCATTTTTAGGTGAAGGACACACCATTTCTGGCACAGCCAAGTCATGGGATCAGCTGCTTTTGCTGTCCTGGTAATTGTATTACTAAGGTAATTTGAATTGAAGGTGACAAAATTTCATCTGGACGCCTAATGATGTGGACTGCTGCTAAATCCATCCTCCAGAAAGAAATTTAGGTGTGGGCACCAGGGCAAAGAAACAGTCTAGATTTAATCCAGCTCCAATGCCTTCCTGCTTGACATCTGTGTAGTCAGAAATTAAAATATTCTGAGGTGCAGTTTCTTAGTCGTAAGCTACAGCTACCTTTAGGTGGCCTTATACTTTGGAAAGCACTGTACATTCTCACCTTAGCTAAAGTCTTTCAGCGAATGGACATATCGTATCCCACACGTCTGAGGAATGCACGCACCTATTTCTGGTAACTGCCTACACTGCAAGAATCATCCTACAGTTCCTTCATAGCTGGAGAGAATTAGACACTTTCAGGGCACAATGACCCTCACCCTAAGGTAGATGTCTGAAAGATGAATAGCTCTTCAAAAATGCTCAGTCCTCTCCACCAACTATGAAAGGAGCTCAGCTTAGTTATATAACTCTGCATTGTAAACCTTTAAAGTTAAGTATGACAAAGCCTACCTCTGGTGTCTAATTTATTATTATTTTTATTTATGAGAAATCATAATATTGCAGAATATTATGGAATACTACTTAAGATTTGATTTGTTTGGTGTGCTGTTTTTTTTTTATTACTGTACATATTACATATATACCTCTTAGCAGAGAACAAGTCTATCATTACTTTTTATAGAAGAACATGCAGACCTTTTCTCATCAGCAGTAAAGAAAGAAAGTCTTTAAAAATGCCCAGTAGATGCTAGCTGGTATATTCAAACATGTGAGAGTCTGCTTGTAGATATAAGCCACAGCCATAAATTATCGTAATTTGTAATTTTTAGTTCTATAAAGTATCATAAAACAAATTCATACATTATCCTTCATCTTATTTTTGCTGAGCTAGATGCATTCCAAGTTTTTAGCTTTTACACAGAGAAGCCAAAATAGAAACTGAGGATAAAAGCAAACAAATATATTATGCATGACATACTTAACTGAAAGGTCACAAAATTATTCTGAGCTCTGATGTCTACAGAAAACCTACATTTGCTAATGCTTACACTTTGACTCTTGACATCTGAGAAATTTCCTGGCAGACAGTTCTGCTTGCACAGATATAGGACTATTGTCACAGGAATCAGAAAAGAAGGTTAAAATTAGTTTTCTGCATAAACTTTCTCTTCAGAAATAAAAGGATTGGTTTTTATGTGTGCAGCATCAGAGAGGTTAGCAATTCAAATGCCAAAAAGAGAAAGCCTCAAGAGAAAGCCTAAGATTTATTTATTTCAACATTTTAATTAATTTTCAGAAAGAACAAATCACAAAGCAAAACACATGAGAACTCTGGTTTATTTTGCAAGAATAAAATTTCCATTTATAAACCCAGGAATCTGTTCACTGTATTCAGAACTTGTCTACAAAATGACAAGAATCCAAGACAACTTTGTACTACTGTATCAAGAGACCCCACTTGGAGTATTGTGTACAGTTCTGGTGTCCTCCACATAAAAGTACATGGAACCATAGGAAAAAGTCCGGAAGAGGGCCACAAGGATGATCAGGGGACTGGAGCACCTCCTATATGAAGACAGGCTGAGAAAGTTGGGGCTGTTCAGCCTGGAGAAGAGAAGGCTGTGTGGAGACCTCATAGCAGCCTTCCAGTATCTGAAAGGGGCCTATAAGGGTGCTGGGGATGGACACTTCATTAGGGACTGTAGTGATAGGACAAGAGGTAATGCATTCAATCTGAAACAGAGAATTAGGTTGGATATTAGGAAGAAATTCTTTCCTGTTAGGGTGGTGAGGCATTGGAATGGGTTGCCCAGGGAAGCTGTGAATGCTCCATCCCTGGCAGCGTTCAAGGCCGTAGAATCATAGAATCATAGAATAGTTTGGGTTGGAAAAGACCTTAAGATCATTCAGTTCCAACCCCCCTGCAGGGACACCTCCCACTAAACCATCTCACCCAACCTCTGACCAACTTGGCCTTGAACACTGACAGGGATGGAGAATGTACAACTTCCTTGGGCAAATAATTCCAGTGCCTCACCACCCTCACAGTAAAGAACTTTTTCCTCATATCCAACCTAAACTTCCCCTGTTTAAGTCTGAACCCATTACCCCTTGTCCTACCACTACAGTCCCTAATGAAAAGTGCTTCCCCAGCATCTTTGTAAGCCCTTCTTGGACAGGGCCTGGACAACCTGTCTAGTGGAAAGTATCCCTGCCTGTGGCAGGGGGTTTGGAACTAGATGACCTTAAAGTCCTTTGCAAACCTAACTAT